TCTGGTAGAGCTAGCTTAAAACAACCAAAAAACAATCATTTTTGTTTTTGATTTTTTTTATAAAAACTAATAAACCTTTGATTTTAGAAAAAACAAAACGAGAATATATATATACAGTTTTACTAAAAACTATCATTTTTAAAATTTTAGTTTTTAAAGATTTGATTTAAAACTTTTTTTAGTAAGATGAAGTGTTTTCTGAATACTACGGCTAAAGGGTTCCTAGAAACGAAATTTTTTTAATCTTTAAACATACAATTCATCTCTTTCAATTTTTTATCAAAAGATTTTTAATGAAAATGTCCAAAATAAAAAAGAATATCTAAATAGTGAACATCAAAAATAATTAGGTTTCCATATTTATTTATATATATTAAGGGAATAGTAAATATTTTAAACTTATTTCTTTTCTTATTTTAGAAACAAAGCTAAATTATATGTTAAATGTTTTCAAATTTATTAGAAATAAATATCACAGATATGTCCTCTTTGCAGTAAATTATGTTCATTTACTGTTGTATTTTTTGTCTAGTTCTTCTAGTTCTTCTGGTTCTCCTGGTTCTCCTCCTATGTTTCTAGCTATCCTGGTTCTCCTGGTTCTCCTGGTTCTCCTTGTTCTCCCAGTTCTCCATTACTCAAAAATAGTAGCTTCCCTGCAAAAAATATGATGATAGTAATGATGAACATTAAAAAACTTGAAAGGTATTTTTATTAATGCTGAATATAAATAGATTTGGGCAGAGTTTTTCTCCCTTTGTAAAAATATTTTGTGTTCTTTGGCTTACAGGGGACTCATTAAAATCTGCAAAGTCCAAGTTAGCATTCATGAAACTATAGCAAATTAAATGTTGACTCTGATAAAGGTTTAAGGTATTTTCACATAGACGACTTCACAAGTAAAATTTCCCAAAAGGCATCTTCATGTGCAATTACAAAGTGAGAACTTAACCCAAACATTAGGTTAGGTAATCTAAGGAGGAGGGGGCTAGGGGGCTAGGGGGCAGAGCACTGCGGCTAAAACATGCTAGTGGCCGATCATTGCGGCTAAGACAGACTTGGGAGGTTGCCGCTTGGGAAATTGCACATTTGGGAAGTTGCCACTTGGAAAATACGCGTGGGAAGTTGCTTCCTGGGAATATGCCTTTGGGAAAGTACCTCTGACAGAGGATATAAGCCAGATAGAAGTTAAAACAATCCTTTAATACTGAAAGATTTGAAAAATCTGTATTGGCTTGCATCTTCTGCCAGAGTCATCATTCTTTTCATATATATAAAGTAGTAATCTCAGTAAATTTTTTTGTTTGTATGTGCAATCATAACTCATAGATCTCTAGAATTTTATTTGGTAAATTGGTTTTAGAACCACGGAAATTTTCCTGGTTTGGAAAATTTTAAGTTGAATTTCAAAGCGAAAATTTATATTTCCGGTCAAACCTGGGTTCCCAACTAGTAATAAAAGTCATTAAAGCAAGCATACAATTTTTAAATTAGTTAATCTTCTCAGATTGAAGTCTCCTAAAAGCCAAAAGAAATAATGTTTAAAAAAGGAAAAAATGATGCCAATTTCTATATTGAAACCTTAAAGCTGTCATCCACTTTTCTGCAAAATTGTCATTTTCAGCGGAAAATACCATGGACTCCTGAACATATCATAGATGGTTAGACAATATATTATACATGAACATTATTAACATTATCATACTACCATATAGATACACATCATAACCTTTTTTATCGTATTAATATTTGTTGTTAAAATTTTAATAATAACATGGAATGAAATTTTAATGTTTAGAAAATACAGAAAAGAAACTACAAAGTGGAAAAAATAAAAAATAAAATGTTTAAAAAAAAGATAAAATATTTTATTAATAAATGTTGACCTGTCCACTATGTGAAAGCTGGAATACCAGGCCTGGGTTTAAACCCTCATAAAGCTCAAAATTCTTCTAAAATAGTTTTATATTAAATATTATTTAAAGAAAACAAAGTTGATCCAAGCTCTGGTAGATAAATACATATATCAAATATATCTTTACTCTTTATACAACTATTAGGGTTGTCAATTAGTGTTTTAAAAACATTAAATAAATTCTGTAAAAGTTTGCTATCAATCTAAGAGAGAATAAAACGGAAAAACAATATGTTTTGGTTTTTTTTGTTGCACATATTTTCTCTCAATGTTAACATTTTCCATAATGTTAGAACAGCAAATGTGAAGTATAAATAATTTTGACATTTGGAAAACTCAGATTTTTGTGGAACTTTTTCCAAAAACTCTCAAGAACAAACCAAAACGATTCAAAGCTATTTCTACATTTTTATGGGATTTTCAGTACAAACAAGGTACCCTGAGAGATATCTATCTCTGTTAGGGTTGGAAGTATTCTACTATTTAACAAGGTACCCTTAGAGTTATATTTACCTCTGCTAGGGGTTGAAGAGTCCAGCCTAGAACAGGAAGAGTTTCTGCTGCTATTGTATCCTCACTAGCTCTATATATATACAGAACTCTCTCTTTTAGAACAAACCAGGACCTCTTCCATTTATTATTCTTTAAACGTCTCCGCAGGTGTCCAGACATCTCAGAGTTCTCAGAGTTAGCTTTTACCTAGAAATTAAATTCATTGTTAGAAGACGACATTGATAAAGAATGCTCAGAATTTCAACTAAAATTATCATCAGAAAAATTAAAACACACCCAAGAGTTGACAATCCAAAATTAAATCATTTCTACAGTCATTATATATTCTTTTTCTATTTTTTCCCTTTTAAGCAATTTTTGTTTTTATCTTGGTTTTTTTCACCTTTAATCTTCCAGGAATATATTTATTTACAGATCTTCCTTCCTTTCTATAGAATCTTGAACTTAAGCAATCGTCTGATCCGAACTCTAGAACAGAACATTAACAATTACAGAGTTTCAAAAAATGTCGTCTGATTCGAAATCTAAACCAGAGCATAAATATTTAATATTTTTATTATTCATAATTTTTTCTTTATATTATTATTATAAAAATTGCTCAGTAAAAAGGAATGATATAAGTTGTCATACAGGGCAAAAAGAAATGAATGAATGATATTTAAAAACGAATATTTTAGGCTGTGATAGAATAGTAAAACAAGGATATTCTGCCTTGTAAAAGAATATTAAAACAAAGATATTCTAACTTGTAAAAGAATATTGTAACAAGGATATTCTACCTTGTAAAAGAATATTAAAACTAGGATATTCTACCTTGTAAAAGAATATTAAAACTAGGATATTCTACCTTGTAAAAGAATATTAAAACTAGGATATTCTACCTTGTAAAAGAATATTAAAACTAGGATATTCTACCTTGTAAAAGAATATTAAAACTAGGATATTCTACCTTGTAAAAGAATATTAAAACTAGGATATTCTACCTTGTAAAAGAATATTAAAACTAGGATATTCTACCTTGTAAAAGAATATTAAAACTAGGATATTCTACCTTGTAAAAGAATATTAAAACTNTATATATCTATATATATATATATATATATATATCTACCTGACCACATGCTCTGCAATGATGTCTACGGTGTACAAGTGTAAAGTCTGTACTGCACTGTTGACACATTGTAACTCTATGATCTGGAACCCAGACCGGTGCCTGATAACCTAGCCTAGCAACATCTTCTTGAGGAACACCATTCTCCAGTTTATTTAACTCTGCTGTAGACAATCTAGGAGTATCATTTGGACGTTAGATCCAGTTTTTCTTTTTAATGTCCGACACACAATGGTACCCTAAAAAGGGTTGTATGATTTAAGTTGAGCATGAGTTATCCATAATTTACTCAATGTAGAAAATATCAGAATTAACTATTTTTCAAGGTAGACAAAATTAAACAGAATTAAATATAACTACAGTAAGATCATAAAACTATGAAATAGACAATTTCTGGGTCTCAGTGTAAAACTATCAAAGTTAAATCATGTTTCTAACTGTCTACCTATAACTCTGCTGTTCCATAAATGTAGATTTTCGAGTTCTATATTCTTCGACAGCTCCAGATATAGATTCAACCCAGTCCATTCTTTCACGTACATCCCTATAGTACATGATAATTATATAGATTCTACCCAGTCCATTCTTTCACGTACATCCCTGTACAGTATATAAAACTGTATAGATGCTACCTAGTCCATTCTTTTCCGTACATCCCTGTACATCCCTTTACAGTGCATGATAATTATATAGATTCAACCCAGTCCATTCTTTTCCGTACATCCCTGTACAGTACATGATAATTATATAGATTCTACCCAGTCCATTCTTTTCCGTACATCCCTGTACAGTATATGTGAAAATTATAAGAAACATTGTATTATGCTTTTTGATATTTATGCAACAAAACAGTAATGTAAATTGTCTTTGACTTTTGTATTTAAATTTATTATTTTTCTGTACCTGGCTCGAAGGGTGAAACTTCTTATACTGCTCTTGATACTAAACTCAGTCTGATACTCCTAGGGAGGTAGGTAGATAAGTAGGTAGGTAGGTAGGTAGGTAGGTAGGGAGGTAGGTAGGTAGGTAGGTAGGTAGGTAGGTAGGTAGGTAGGTAGGTAAGTAGGTAGGTAGGTAGGTGGGTAGCTAGGTAGCTAGGTAACTAGGTAGCTTGGCAGCTAGGTAGGTAGGTAGGTAGGTAGGTAGGTAGGAAGGAAGGAAGGTAGGTAGATTATAGGTAGGTACCTGTGAAGAAGGAAGATGGACTTGAACTTGACTAAGGTTTAGACAATATTTAACTTTCAAGCCATAATTATCTCCTAACCCCTGGAAACAGAAAAATTGAAGAAAAAAAATCTAAATTTCCATTTTTAAAAACAGATTTAACTTACAGAGTAGGTTGTGTAAAGAAGAGAGTCGGAGAGAAGAATAAAATATCTCGAAGCTTCTCCCTTTCTAGAAATCTTCTTCAGTTCACCTTCCTTGATCAAATCCCGTCCTAGTAATACAAAAGTTATCTAAAACTAGCTGAAGTGCATGGCGTTGCCCGTGGGATAAAAAAAATCGAATTTGATTTTTTTTTTATTTCAATTAAAATATTTCAGCAAATTTGGTTCCGCTGTTTATGTGTTTGTCTTTTTGTACGTCCGATCATAACTTATGAACCTTTTGTCCGATTTGACTCCAAATTTTGATTGGTTAACCTATAGATCTTCAAGAAATAGCTTGTTATTGGGTTCATGAGTTATGATCTGAAACACAATCATGACCGTGAATTTCATTATTTTCAATAACTAATACTTATAATTTGATTAAAATCATCACAATCATTGTGATCCATAAATATATGAATTGTGAAGACGACTGTTAGACTAAAGTTGTGATTTGAGATAGTGAACATGAAACATAGTAATTTTGTGTCGTGTACAGTGTACAGTGTACATTCCATTTAATGAGTGGATTGTTTAATATTTAGCAACTGGTAAAACTATTTCACACTCATTGCTAAGCTTTCGATGTGTTTTCTGCAGTGATTTAAGCAGTACTCTGACCGAAGAAATTGTGGGGTTAAGTGGAGGGTGATTTTTGTATATATCGTATTCCTCTGTCAAGTTTGATATACTGATCCCTGATCCTTGTTTCTAACCTGGTTTAATGAGTTCCCAGTTATTTAATCTGCCCTGAAGCTGGAGCATGCGTACTGAATCCTCCTGTCCGCTCACAGTAGAGTTAGCATGCTCAGCAGCAGCGGTCACTATGCGCAGCGCATGCGCAGTATCATCAAAATCTTGGCTTTCTCTTCCCAGATGCTTCTGATAATCCTCAAGAAGTAATCTGGAAAAGAAAATTTTACATCAAAAATGAAAAAAAATGGGATTTCATAAATTTTTTTATTTCTACAAAAGACCATGGAGAGCCAAAAAAAAGGCAATCAGTTTAAATCAAGAATGATATTGTTATATTGGTCAGATTATGCTTTTTTCTTTTAATTTTTATGATAACCTTTAAAAAAGAAGAAAAATTCAATTGCAAAATGTTTATTAGATTTCAGATTATTTTTTCTTTGCAAGATTTATGTCTAATTGTTTTTGCTTTAAAAAACATTGAAATAAACGGTTGCAAACAGAAAATGAGACACCAAAGACTATTTTTTTAAAAAGTCTTTAATGATTGTTTTACAACTAAGGTTTCCTATACAGTGATAACATGAAAACTCTAGAATAAGAAGTCATGATTTGTTTTTTTTTTCTTGAAATATTTTATCTAAGAATTAAACCTGTATTGTGGAGGGAGTTAAACTGAATCGAAAGAGTTAAACCTGTATTGTAGAAGGAGTTAAACTAATTCGAAAGAGTTAAACCTTGATTGTGGAAGGAGCTTAACTAATTAGAAAGAGTTAAACCTTTATTGTGGAAGGAGTTAAACTGATTCGAAAGAGTTAAACCTGTATTGTGGAAGGCGTTGAACAGGTTTAAGAAGAAGATGATTAAGTTTAAGCTGTTTACAGGCAGGCCTAGACTCAAACTCAGCTACAAGGTTCCCGAACACAGGATACTTGGTACAACAGGAGGAGAGCTTATTCATCATCATTGTGAACCCCTGGATGTAAACTGTGTACAGTTTCAGGAATGGGCCCTTTAATCACCGGGGTTTAAATATTTTTTAGAATATTGTAAGAACAATTAAAAAATTTTAAAAATAGATTTTGTTACATTCTTTACATTCTAAGTGCATACTTATCACTCAAAAACTAAAAAAACTTCTTAACCCATTGAGCAAAAAAGAAAATCAAATGTTTGGTATACAACGGATGGAAAAATATTAAAATTTCACTTTTTAAAATTAAAACCCCTGGAAAAAAGAGTGTTTTTACATTTCAAAACATTTCAAAATTCTTAAAAATGTAAAAACATCAAATTAGGAAAATTAACTTGAATTAATATCAAGATTTCTGTACAAATATGATTTCTGATATAAAAATGACTTAATGACTTATTTGCTTACTTTTGTTATGGTGTTCGCAAAATTGGTAAAATCTTTAAACGATCCATCAAGCTAATTAGCTCCGAACGAAATTTCTTGAATTGATACATATAAAAAATATGAAAATTTTCCAAATTAGCCATTACTTCCAGAAAAAATAAACTCCTGGTTTGAAACATTTCCAAGTAAAAGAAACATCTACTATTATATAAAACCCTGCCTTGTTTACAATAACATCAGCGATCTTCTGACAGTTCTCCCAGTTCTCAACCCTGTCCTCGAACTCCCTCAACAGCTCCGAGTTCAAGGTCAAGATCTCCTTCAGGTTTAAGAACAGGTTAGAGAACACGTCCGCAGGTATTATTTCAGTTTTAGAGCTTTCCATCTTGGTTTGAATAAAACCAGTAAAGTCTTTACATATTAGTTGAAGCACTTCTACAAACACCTTTTCTGACGTCATAATTTCCCGAGCTATATAATACACTTTCTTTTCCATTCGTTGCTCCTCACTTGTACCGTCAGAGTGAGACGAGTTCGGAGGCGAAGTTTCGTCTGAAGAGCTGGACTGTTCACTGATCACACTTTCTCGTTTAGATCTTGCTCCTAGAGAAGGACCGGAGGTGGCGGAGCTGACTGAAGGCCCGTTGTATCTGGATGGTAGTACGTTCTTTGAGTTTAAATCTGAACCTTGCTCGGAAGAATCTGCTGCGGTGATGTAGGAGGAGGAAGAAGACGCATTCTTCACCGCCGGCGGTCTATTGGAAGGAAACTTTGGTGGTTCAGAATTTATCCGCGGGGAATGAACCGCCTCCTCCGCCGAGCTAATCATACTGTTCCCCATCTTTGTGTTAGCCTCTACCCCAGGAACAGATTTTCGGTTGCTTTTACTATTCCGCCGGCGGCGGTTGGCGGTAAATGATCCGAATATTTCACTAAATCTTGCTTTTAGCGGTGAACTTGTTCCATCTTCAGACCCCGTACTTTCCTGAACACCTAAACAGATATCAAATCTTTTCTAAAACTCATCAAATGTACAGATTTCAAAATATTTAAATCTTGAAAAATTTAATACAATTTTAAGGGAACCAATCATTTTTGAGCCGCAGCTTAAATTTAAGCCGCGGCTCAAATTCTTTAAATTCTGCCTTAGGACGGACAAAAGATGAAAAAAGCATTTATGTTTTCTACTTGTTCCCCGCAAGCGTGCAAATATGAGACTGCGTTTCCAGAATGATGCCATTTTAATAAACCTGTAAATATATAACTTTTTAAAACAAAATAATACTCTCTAAAAACATTTTAGAATTTTACATGATGTATGGAATTGCAACAGTAAGATGAACAGATGAAGAAATAAAAGATTGCCAAATATGAAATTTGATATCTCTAAAATGCTTAAAATATGTTATAATAAACCTGATAAACTGTTTCTGTTCCAAGTATCTGATGATTCAGCATCCCCGTCATACCATTGAATGGATCTAGATCAAATAAAAAATAAATAAAATATTAAAACTAGCTCAAGTGCCCGGTGTTGATTGTTAAATTTTAAAAAACATTTTGGAAAAAATCAAATCCTTTTTAAAAGAAATAAATAATTTCGAAAAAAAAAATTATAATTTCGAAAATTTTGTTTAGCCTATGTTACCCCCAGGGTACACATGGGTTTCTTAAAAAATATGTGAGCGAAACGCTTTTATAGATAATCAACATCAATAGGTTTCTAGGCTAATCAAGTAAGTTAGAGAAAGAATAATTGAACGCAAAGAAATTTCAGAACATTTTAAATATTTTTATAAGAAGCATGTAAAAGCTGGACAAAACAACGAATAAATGTAATAATAATAATCAAAAAGTTGAACTAAAGGGGAAAGATTAAAAAAATCTGAATAATAACAAGAACAAATAAAGCATATGATGGATTAAGTATAATAACAACTAACAGAAAATATCACAAAGAGAACAATAAAGATGAGAAGGAAGAAGAATAATTAAGGAAAAGGGATGGAGTGGATAAAAACAAAGAGGGTAAAATGTATAAAATGGATGTGTGGAATAAACTTGAGAAAATAGAATAAACAAAAAGAAGGAAGAGGCTCGATAAAAATAAAAAAACAAACTGGTTGAGGGTGAAAAATAAAAATACACCTGTTTGAGGTTGAAAAAGAAAAATACACCTGTTTGAGAGTGAAAAAGAAAAAGAAACCTGTTTGAGTTGAGAGTGAAAAAGAAAAAGAAACCTGTTTGAGAGTGAAAAAGAAAAAGAAACCTGTTTGAGGTTGAAAAAGAAAAAGAAACCTGTTTGAGAGTGAAAAAGAAAAAGAAACCTGTTTGAGGTTGAAAAAGAAAAAGAAAGCTGTTTGAGAGTGACAAAGAAAATAAACCTGTTTGAGAGTGAAAAAGAAAATAAACCTGTTAACAGGTAAAAAAGAAATGAAAACCTGTTTGAGGGTAAAAAAGAAAAAGAAACCTGTTTAAGGTTGAAAAACAAAACAAAAAACCTGTTTGAGGAGGAAAAAGAAATAAAAACCTGTTTGAGGGTGGAATATAAAAAACCTGTTTCAGAGTAAAAATAAAAAAAATAAACCTGTTTGAGGGTGAAAAAGAACTGTTTGAAGATGAAGTTGAAGAATTTTCTTTGTTCTCATCCCAGCCACTCAGACGGTTTTCTACAATATAAAAAAATAATTGATATTTAGTTTGTCTTTAAATTTATAATTCTATATTTAATTAAATTTACAATAATATTTATATGTATTTTAGGTTATAAAGTGATTGAACATTTATTTACATTTTATCTTGTAACTTTTTATCTAAATGCTGACTGATAGTTATATGAAACTAGGCTTACAGAGCGCTTTGCGCCCTTCTTCTTTTTAAATTGTGAACATTTTATATTAGTGTACATTGTAAACAATAGAAAAAAATTAGCGGATTTTATAAAAATAAATTCGGGGATTTTCAAAATTTAATGACAATCGAATTTAGTTGGAGGCTAATTTTTGAAATTTTGATAATCCATAAACCTTCCCTTGGTTATGTGAGGTCCCGCAAAAAATTTGGACCCAATCGGTTCAGCCGTTTTGACGTTTATTGGATACAAACAGACAAATATTCGTCCTTAGATAAAATTACAATTCAATTGTGAATATTTTCTCTTTGTGTACATTTTAAAACAAAAACAAACAAAAAACGTTGCGGATTTCATTAAAAACATATCGTGGATTTTTTAAATTGTCAAAAATCGAATTTTTCTAGAGACAAATTTTTCAACATTCGATTATCCATAAACCTTCCCTGGGGTTAGGTGAGGTCCCACAAAAAGTATATTTATAGAGATAAAGAAGTAGTGAAGTGTAAAGACGGTATAATGTAGACTAGATAAGGAAATGCAGGATATTTTCTTATCAACTTTAGCAAACCAACTCCGATATTACTCAACTAGTCTCATTGGCTCAGAAGGATTAAAATAAAAATTTCAACGTAAAATATAATTTTTGATAATTTATATTCAACTTGCTTGGGAACCCCCGTTTACGCGCTTTTTGTAGCAAATTACGCTTTTAACTATTTTTCCCGATAAAACTCGACCCACTCATATTAGAGCCTAAACCAAGCAAATCAATCCAGGTTCCCGAGTCATGATCGAACAGACAGACAGACAGAGATTACAACCTTATATGTATATATATATATATATATATATATACACGTTAGGCTAAATTTATTTAGTGGAACGTTACATCATCACATGACCAGACTATTTATAAGAAGGTTAATAACTGGGCAGAATTAAAAAAAAATTGCGTACAAAACTTTATCAGCTAAAGAAAAAAAAAACAATATCAAAATTATCGCCAGAAATATCGTCGCGATTGTTTTTGAAGGAACGTAAGCGTAATGTTAAGTGACCCTCCATGCAAAGATGGCAATGCTCGATTGAAACCTTAATCTGATGAAAACTGTTAAAAATTACCGTTGTTTTCCTCACTCCTGAAGTATTTATCTCTGATGATTGCTTCTTATATAAGCAAGAAATGCGCAAGGCATTTTCGCAGAGAACAGTTTAAAGAAATAAAAACATAAAATATCATTTTAGACGATCAGGATGCAAGGATCAGAAAACTAGGGTTTGTGGTAAATACCCAATTATGTATCTTAGACCACTTATATTGGTGACCTGATTTGGTTGCGGAGAGCCTTAAATGTATCCGCTAAAAAGCAGAAGACAAATATGGAGATTTCTTTGTCAATGAATTTTTTTAAAGATTTTTGTGAAAAAAATAAAGGAAAAAATCTTTTAAATATTAATAAATTCGAATAGAACTCCTTTTATTTGTTTGAAAAATAGGGGTAATTTATTATTTGACACAGGGGCCGGGAGGGGGGGGGAGAGAGACAAGTTTCCCCCCCCCCCTTTTCTCTAGAATCACCCCTAAACTTTTTAATCAAACGTTAATATAAAAAATCTGTTTTCCATACTTATATATGAAACAGTTGATGTAATAATATCTTGAATGTCGTCTCTACTCCGGCGCAGAGGAATATTCATCCTGTATCTGTTCAGAGCTCAAGTATAAGGTATAGACTGAGCTCCAGGTATACACTGATAACAGATGACTCAGAGTAAATATAAGGCCCAACATTATTATTATTTTTTAAATATTGAAAAGAATGAATAAAAGTGCTACAGCGTGTAATTCTAAACTTAAAACAAATACTCAAGCTTAATCATAGTTATGAAATATACAGGGTGTTTTTTTAAGGGGGGGGGGGGGGGGGGTTCAGTTATTCTTAAAGAAGGGGGAGGGGCTTAGAAAAATAAAAGAAGGATTGACCCGGAATGATATTTTATGAAAAATATTTATAAAATAAATTATGATAAAAAGTAATTTAAAAATAATGCAATATATTTACACAGTTTTTTACGTATTTTTCTTTATAATTTAGAGGATAATTTAAAAGAACGTTCAGATCGACAATTGTTTTCCAGGTACAAATATTCACTTATGATGAACCTTCTTTTGCAAACAGACAAACAATATATGTATGCATAGATAGATAGATAGAATAGAATTGGTAAAATTAAGATATGATTTTAGTTGAATAATTATATTTATAGTGTGTTTACTAAGACCTTATAAAATTGAATAAAGATGAATACTTGCCTATATATGTATTTTTATGCACTGTATTCATAGATACATGTTTACACTTGGTACGATATTGATTAAAACTAAACACTCAGATCCGCTATTCATATTATTCATATTGTCAAAGAGTATATATAAACAGGAGGCAAACAAAGAGTATCAATCTTTTTTTTACATTAATTATTAGCTTAATTCAAACTGTTGCTCAGTAAGTGGCCAAATGTTAGCGGATTTTTCAAATCGAATTGGGAAATTTCTCAATTTCTAGAAGCTGCCATAAACAATTTAGGCCCGATAGGTTTTGCATCTTTAACGTTATTGGATTCAAACAGACAGACAAGTAATGTTTATTGTATATATAGTTGCAAGGTTATAATGCAAGGAAAGTTATTTCAGAGGTGTACGCATCTTTAGTACTGCAATGTACTGTCGCGGTAGTGTAAACACAAGACGGATGTCGAAACCTGACATGGAATCCATCTTTCACATAAAAAACAATGAAATAGTCTGGCCATAAGAAACAATTATGTGAAATATCAAAATTATCAAAATTTAATGCTTTTAACCTCCTCAGATACTAAACGAACACTGATGCATCTATTCTTGTTTACAAATTCCGCCCAGAGAGAACTGGTTTTTATATGTACGCCGAGTATACGCAACTGCAATTAACTTTTCTTGCCTTATAACCTTGGATAAATAAAGGTTTGAAAAAAGGGAAAATCTATATTACACCTAAAGAGAATATATTTAATCTCTGTTTTGTGAAAATACCAGAGGCAAACAATAGAGACAAAAAACTAGGGTTTCCAACTTATTAGATTATTCACTAACGCGAAATTACGTGCAGTTACGCGAAATAACAGAGATTTGGTCCATTACCAAATTTTAATTCAATTTGAAAGTATTTATATTACACAATCAGATTGGACATGGTTTTAGCGAGCATATTCTTACACATATTTTCGCGCTATATTCATTTCTGAGAATTAATATGTACTTCACTAATTACGGAATGGTTTCGTATTACGCAATTTCGCGTAATTACGCCTTAATTACTCGAAACTAGACTTTCTTTCGTATACGTAATTAACACGCAGTTTTGCGTAATGTTCCTCCGTAAGTGAAATACAGTGTTACGCGTAATTATGCGTAACTACACGTAACGTAATTAAGACTGGAAACCCTACAAAAACGATTGTCGATGCTTGCTTTTTATTTTTCAGATGTAAATATGCTATAAATCTTTTAGTCTTTATTTGAAATGAATACTCCCAGAAATATAAAGCTTTCTATACGATCGTACACACTACACAGAAATATATATTTTATTCATATTAAGTCACATGTTGCATTTCAACAAACAAGGGTTGTTCGAAATATTTTGGATGTGTAGAGGAATTTTAACTGGATGTCACAGCCAAAGTTTTGTTAATTTTTCGTATTATAAATGATTTGAGCTTGTAAACTGTAATTATTGGTTGACAATGGAAGAATTTGAGGACTTCTTCAAAGAAGTTTTTTTTTATCAAACTCTTAAATCATTCAATATTGGTGCTTTTATTACTCACATGCTTCTTAAATAAATTTCAAAAAATCAATTTTTTGTGATTAAAAAATATCCTACCTTCGGCTGTACAGTCTTCTGTCCGCTTTCCAAGATCATCCGGGTGAACCTATACATAATCATAATCTATACATATAAAGTTGTAATCTCTGTTTGGGTGTCTGTATCTTAGTTTGTCCGATAATAACTCAGGAACCTCTAGACCGATTTGCCTCAAGTTTTGATTGGGGAACTCGAGAGAGCTATGAGAATGGTTTTAGTTTGGTTTTAAGATTCTACGTTGAGTATAGGTCGACTTTTATTTCAAAAATTTAGTTTCCCGGTAAAATAGACCAAGTGCGGGTAAACGGCGGTAGTAATAATGAGGGTTAACTAATAATGAGATATCTAACAGAAATTTCCTAATTATTAAATGATAAACTGTGAATTCTGTTACATCAAATAATATAAGTTTGAACTTTCAAGTTTTTAGACGATCAGGATGCAAGGATCAGAAAACTAGGGTTTGTGGTAAATACCCAATTATGTATCTTAGACCACTTATATTGGTGACCTGATTTGGTTGCGGAGAGCCTTAAATGTATCCGCTAAAAAGCAGAAGACAAATATGGAGATTTCTTTGCCAATGAATTTTTTTAAAGATTGAAGATAAAACTAACTCACCAAATCAATCTTAAGGTTCATCGGTAAACTGGAGAACATGGTTTCTCCGTCCTCTCTCAGGGTGGCAGGATTCTCTGATCCGTGGGACGGATCTAATCTTTGAGACGGATCTAATCCTTGGGACGGATCTAATCCGTGAGACGGATCTAATCTTTGGGACGGATTTAAGCTCCTGAACTGATCTAAGCTCCGGGAAGGATTAAAGCTCTGGGACGGATTTAAGCTTCTGGACTGATCTAAGCTCTGGGACTCAACTAAACTCTGGGACGGATTTAAGTTCTGGGAAGGATTAAAGCTCTGGGACGGGTTTCCTGTCTGGGTTTGAAGTTTAGACGGGAGCCTGAGTATCATTGGAATTGTTTCTGAATCCTGAACATTAACAATAATTATAAATAATTATAGAATGTTTTAACTTTCAGCTCATATCTCAATTATTTTTTAAATCTAGTAATTTACAGAAATTTAATAATGAAATTTTTCAAGGATGTTCAGAATGCAGAATTATTACAAAAGTTACAAAAATATTTTTTTATCAAACATTTTTGGGGAAAATGTGTTTTTATTTTTGGATATTTACGTAGTTCAGTTATATTCAATTATAAAATAGTTTAATTATGAAATAGTTAAATTATAAAATAGCTCAATTATAAAATAGTTCAATTATAAAATAGTTCAGTTATAAAATAGTTCAATGATAAAATAGTTTCATTATAAAATAGTTCAATTATAAAATAGTTCAATTATAAAATAGTTCTAGTTCAATGATAAAATAGTTCAATTATAAAATAGTTCAATTATAAAATAGTTCAATTATAAAATAGTTCAATTATAAAATAGTTCAGTTATAAAATAGTTCAATGATAAAATAGTTTTATTATAAAATAGTTCAAAGTTATAAAATAGTTCAATTATAAAATAGTTCAATGATAAAATAGTTCAATTATAAAATAGTTCAATTATAAAATAGTTCAATTATAAAATAGTTCAATTATAAAATAGTTCAGTTATAAAATAGTTCAATTATAAAAGTTGCAAATTATTTGTAAAAGAAAGTCAATTAAAAAGAGCAGGTTTAACATGTTTAAAAGTATTTGTTAGAAACCAGATAATACAGTAGACCTGAGTTTGGTCACGAAGCGCCTTAAATGTCTGCAGGGTTGCAGCCAGCTTCTCCTGTGTTCTTTCAAGTAACCGGATATTTTTCTCAATATCCAAACCTAAATAATAGTATATCCAGTATTAAAGTTAATATCCAAACCTAAATAATATTATATCTAGTATTAAAGTTAATATCCAAACCTAAATAATATTATATCCAGTATTAAAGTTAATATCCAAACCTAAATAATATCATATCCAGTATTAGAGTTATATTTATAAAATTCAATTCACCACCCAGATTCAAGTACCTTTAAGCGCTTTGCCTGAGGAAAAGTGAGGAATATAATGTGATTAATCTTAGAACGAGTTAAATTTTGTCAATAACACATGCTTGCTCTCTCACGCATAGTTGAAAATGATCAATTCTCCGAGAGAAGAACTAACAATTCTTTCTCATTGGAAGAGTACCGTTGTAAATCAAAAATGCAACCTTTTATATTGAGGGAATCAGTTTAACTTACGTCAGGAGTCCTGTTAACACTGGGATATACATACATTCGAGTTAATTGACAATTTTTATCATGTAAGAGGGGGTCAGGCCTACAGTGACACGCCATTGTAAAGATGGCAAATGACAGTGCCCCTCTTCTGACTTGAAACGTGTTTCATTCTAATAATTTCTCCAATGCTTCTTGTAAGCCAGAAATGCGCAAGTCCTTTTCTAAGAGAAGCCGCCAATGAAAATACACAGTTTATGAAAATAAAAACATAGCTAACTATTTCATTCTTGATCAGACAAGGCTGTTCAGGGTACCGTTGTAAATCGGACATTGCAATGGAGGGTCACTTGAAATTACACTTACAGCCCCTTTAGGTGACATTTAAATAGAACATACTCTATTTACATGGTTACCCTGTAAATAAAACTCTCAAGGGTACCGGTGTGAGTCAGACATGCCACACTCTAAATTCTCACTAGAAAAAATGGAAGGCACGAGTCATACCTGGAGAATATTTACGTTTAACTCTAGACAGGTTTAAACCTTTTTCAAACATTTTCAAGATGAGAGGGAGAGGACGTGTGTCTTGATAATATTAGTTTTCTACATTACTGACAGGACGTATGTGTTCTCTATGGTGTGTTGGCTTCACTCAGCTAAGAAAACTGAGATATATAGTTACAGAACTTACGGTCAGATACAGCAAGACCAATATTATAGGGAGAGGGTTATTGATGGGGTGGAGAGAGTAGGTGGGGAAAAGGGTGCTACAGATCCATTTCCTTAAATCAAAGTAAATTTCTTTCGTAAAAGCTGATTTTTAATAATTGCAAATAGGATAAATTATAGAAATTAGTTTAATTTTTATGAAAAATTAAAAATCTGATATTTTCTTATGTACCGGTGTATGTGCAAGACGTATTCAGTTTGGCTAATAAATTACAATTTAGCATACAACTGTTAAAAAAATACTAAAAATGGCTAAACACGTAAGACCATTGGCCCATCCGCGCGGGCATAAATCATTGCACGATGTTATGCTAACTCCTGACCACAAACAATTGTATGCAAACTGGTTTGTAGTCTCTAGAGACTGCAAACATGTCATAAAATATAGATATATAGATTTGGAATCATTTTTAAATGCTACGTATTTTATCCAGCTCTACTCAACTGGCAACTGCTTCTTTTCAAATGTATCGCACATATCTGGGATATTTTTCCAGAGTACCTTTATGGAGAAAGGGAGAGGGTTTAATCCAAACCTTTTTTCAATAAATCCAATTACTTTATTAATTAAGAAGTATACCTTGACATACAGTTGGTGGTAGAGAATATAATCCAGGAGCTAAACCCTTAATTCTGGTTTTTCTAGATCTTTCATTCAGGCGGGATGAGATTTCTCCAGGTCTGGGTTCAACTAAAGATGAATATTCTCCAGGTCTAGGTTCTACTAAAGATGAATATTCTACAGGTCTAACTTCAACTAAGGATGAATATTCTCCAGGTCTGGGTTCAACTAAAGATGAATATTCTCCAGGTCTGGGTTCAACTAAAAATGAATATTCTCCAGGTCTGAGTTCAACTATAGATGAATATTCTCTAAGTCTAGGTTCAACTAAAGATGAATATTCTCCAGGTCTAGGTTTAACTAAAGATGAATATTCTCCAGGTCTAGGTTCAACTATAGATGAATATTCTCCAGGTCTAGGTTCAACTAAAGATGAATATTCTCCAGGTCTGGGTTCAACTAAGGATGAATATTCTCTAGGTCTGGGTTCAACTATAGATGAATATTCTCCAGGTCTAGGTTCAACTAAAGATGAATATTCTCCAGGTCTGGGTTCAACTAAAGATGAATATTCTCCAGGTCTAGGTTCAACTAAAGATGAATATTCTCCAGGTCTAGGTTCAACTAAAGATGAATATTCTCCAGGTCTGGGTTCAACTAAAGATGAATATTCTCTAGGTCTAGGTTCAACTAAAGATGAATATTCTCTAGGTCTAGGTTCAACTAAAGATGAATATTCTCCAGGTCTGGGTTCAACTAAAGATGAATATTCTCCGTGTCCTCTGTAAACTAGAGAAGATAGAATGGATTCAGCATGTTGTATCCTAGTATCAGCCTAAAAACCCCAGTTCAACATAATAAATAATATTAACAGTAATTTTGCTATTTTTTAAAAGTATTTTAAACTAGACGAAAATGTTGAAAAATTTTAAAAAATTGAAATAATCTATTTTTTAAAAAAGGAAGTTTGTTTAGCATTAAATTAGAAGTAGAAATAATTTCTTTTATTCTTTTAAAGTCCAGAAATATGAATTATGTATTGTATAACAGGTTAAACATGTTCCTTAGATAGAAGTTTATCAATACAAGTCCTGGTGTAGGGTTGAGAGGATAGAGACTTGGGGCTTTCCTCACATCTTCGGGCTTTTTTCTTCTTTATATTGTTATTGTTGTTGTTGTTGTTGTTGTTGTTGTTGTTGTTGTTGTTATTGGTATTGTTGTCGTTGTTGTTTACAGAACAGTTGAAGAAAATCACGTTATCAGAAGTATTCAGTGTTGTATTTAGATTTCTAGGTTCCCTGTATTTTTCTTAATCTTAGTTAGAAAACAAATAGTTGGATTAATGTAAAGAATTGAAGAAAAAGAAATAACCAACCAATCAAATTTTAAACCGAGATCCCAAATTAAAATTTGAGAAATATCAGTCCAGGGGTTTATGAGTTATGATCGGACTTGCAAATAGACAAGAGATTACTACTTTATATATATATAGATATACTAAGACTACTTTCCTATCGTATCTCCATACTTTCTGAAAATCAACAACATCGTCGCTGGGTTTAGGTCTGGTTTCAGCTCCAGTACCGGACAAGGACGGATATCTTTTCTCGCTCTCCTGTTCCCTAGGTTTAGGTTTGGTTTCAGCTCCAGTACCAGACAAGGACAGATATCTTTCCTCTCTGTCCTGTTCCCTAGGTTTAGGTTTGGTTTCAGCTCCAGTACCAGACAAGGACAGATATCTTTCCTCTCTGTCCTGCCCTACAGGGTAAAACAAAGATTCAGAGAAAATTGGGTTTAGCTCCGGCTTTAGATCCTGAATCTGATCTGGGTCATTTAGTTTTTGATAAGAATTTATTCCCTCAACTGTTTTCTCCTAAAATAAAGAAAAATAAGCCAAACAAAAAAATTGAATGTAGATTGATTTTCACGCAAAATAATTCAAATACAGGGGATATTTCAAAACTAACACTTGGCCCATTTCTGACACTCAGTGTTAGAAATGGGCCGAGTGTTAGTTTTAAAATTAATGTTTCCTGAAAAAGGAAATATATAGAGAAGGGAAAGGATGAAGGCATTCATTCTTAATATATTTTGAAATAAGAAATTTTTAAATCGTTAAAAATATAGCTTCAAAAAAAATTTAGATAATATATTGTAAACTATGAAACTAAGCATCTACCTTCTCCTCGAATCTGACTTACTAAAAATATAAAAACACAAAACCCATAAACCATGAACTTAACCCTATATTAACCCTATATTAACCCTATATTAACCCTATATTAACCCTATATTAACCCTATATTTAGCAGTCTTAAACCAAATCTTAGCATTTTGTACAAACCCTCATTACAAAATGCAAAAAAGTTTAATATTTAAGATTTTGAAAATGAACTGAAAACTTCCCGCTAACTCAAACTGTCTAATCCTTATATCTCTGCAACATTACGTTGCAGAGATTTTATATTTATAACAATAAACTCTGTTAAATTCAATAGTGTCAAAGTTTGAAACATTTTAGGTTTACATCATCAGCTTATTAAGATATACAACATAAAGAAAATTTATGTAAACTGTCTTTTGTTTACAATATTTAATTTATTTAATTTATTTATTTATTTATTTATTTGTTTATTTGCTGTACCTTATTATCTGATGCTAACTGGACTCTTGTGACTATCCTTCGGGAATTTCCCTCATATTCACTTTTCCCTAAAATAGAAATATTTTTCACTAAAAGAAATTAAATCTAACATTTTTTTCGTGACCTAACTTAAATACTTAAAAAAGTATTGTCATAAACATTTTTCTATAATAATGCATGTGTAAAACCATTTTTCTTGGAACACTTTCATCAAAAATAATTTTTTTATTGGTTCCAAAAACTTAATTTTCAGTATTAAGAACAAAATTGTAAACATGACTAATTTACCTTTTGTAGGGTATAAAACACTGAAGGACTTAGAAACCCCTTTACAAGTTATTTGCGGAAAGATTAAAAAAGTGTTGTTGTAAGTCTTAATTTTTAACGTTATTTAATAACTAAAGTTTTAGAAACGTCATGCCATGTATAATTCTCATTTTAACTCTTGGCATGGCATTATGTAACATAGTTCTGTTAAACACACTGTTTACGCTCCATGATCCAGCAATAATTTATAATTATTAATCTGAGCTGAAAACATTAAAATGAGATATCCTTAATCCCGATCGGTTAATTGATCTGGAGATAAATAACAAGAGGAGAACAAGCCTTATTTAATCTCGATATTAAGAAAAAGAGTGGATCAAGCATTAATCCCGATATCAACCATTCAAAAGTTTTCAGCTCTGTACATATAAAAGTTTTTGCGACAAACTCAAATTTTAAATCCTGATGACGAAAACCTTTGATACTGCTAACGTAGAATATTTGAGCTAACAGAATTTATATGTTTGAAATATCTAAGGTCTACGACATTGGGATCGCAAAGTTAGAGGGATTGGAAAACCATATTGAGTGGCTAAGATTAATTCGAATAAGGGAAGTTAATGGGAAAAATTGAAATGACTGAAATCTTAATATTTTGTAATACTTTTCCATGAGTCATATATTTACAAAAAAAAATAAAGTTTTTGCAGGAAACTCTGATTTTTTAATCCCTATATCTCTGCAACCCAATATTGCAGACCTTTCAAATCAAATCAAATCAAATTAAATCAAATCTTGAATGAACTCTGTTTGATCAAAAAGTCTAAGTTTAAAACATCAAAGGTTTACACCATCGGGTTGCAAGAATATGAGAATTAGAAAATTTAAGTTAATTATGTAAACATAAGTATTAAGCGTAGAATTATATAATCTGCAAAAACAAGAACAAAGGCTCAAAGCATAACAAATGAATACCAAAACAAAGGGCTGAAAGGCCGGAAAGCATGAAAATGCTTGAAATTACCAAAAAATCTAATTTGTGTCCACACTCCACAAGAATACACTCAATTTCAATTTAAACATGAAAGGTTTTCAGGTAGAAAACAATGGATTGTGAATATTAAATGGAATTTTGAACCTCCCCCCCATTTAAGCTCCCTCCGACCCCCCCACACTACTACTTTAAACCTCCCTCCCCCCACCCTACACACAACAAACAATAGTTAACCTTACAATGTTGCATGGCTCAGATAAAAATGCTTAACAAATGCTTTTAAGTGCTAAGTACCTTTAAGCGCTTTGCCTGAGGAAAAGTGAGGAATATAATGTGATTAATCTTAGAACGAGTTAAATTTTGTCAATAACACATGCTTGCTCTCTCACGCATAGTTGAAAATGATCAATTCTCCGAGAGAAGAATATATTTAAACTTGATGCTAAAATCCTCTAGTTTGACCCCCACCTAGATATTTAATGATTGTACTTGTTTATTTGTTCAGAATTTTACCCCACCCGGAGGAGGAAGAAATCATCTTTCATAACTTATTATTTTAAAGAAAGCTATTAGTAGTAGAAATATTACATTTTGAGTAACAGAGCATTTTATATTAATATTATCTTTTAACTAAAAAAACGGGTGTTTATTAATTCCATCATTTCATGCCTGAATTATAGTTATGTTTTTCTGTATCCTTGTATCCCTGTATCCCTGTATCCCTGTATGCCTTGTTTCCCTGTATCCCTGTATCCCTGCATCCCTGTATCCCTGCAACCCTGTATCCCTGTATCCCTGTATCCCTGTATCCCTGTATCCTTGTATCCCTGTATCCCTGTATCCCTGTATCCCTGTACCCCTCTTATCCTGTTTATCTCTGTATCCCTGTGTTACTGTTTATCCCTGTATCTTTGCACTGTATCTCTGTATCTTTTCATATTTATATCTCTGTATCACTGTATCTCTGTATCTTTTCATATTTATATCTCTGTATCCCTATGTTAATCATTGTATCCTACCTTTTAAACATACATTTGTAATCTAACCGTGTGTATTGTTTATGTATGCACTGTGCACTAAGCTAAGTATTTAGCTGTATATAATGTTAACGCTTTGACGGCTGAATCATTACTGAGTATTGAGTAATGATATTGAGAAGTTGCTGCCGCTGAGTAGTTAGCTACAGGTTACAGTACTGAGAAGTTGGCTGTGACAGGCACAGTACTTAGTACCACTGCCTAAGGTACTACTTGCTGACTGCTTACCACACAGTAAAGTGACAGTTTTTAGATTTTAAACCAGATTATATCAAACAATTAGGGGACAGTCACTTAACTACCACTAATAGCCTATAATAGTTAATATTTGTTTCTACCCATTTACACGCTCCCCCCCCCTCGTACATAGAATTATAATTCTTTTTAAAAAATGTTCATAAAGTTCCAAAAAAATCTAAAATTCTAAAAGGAAAAAATTAAATCGTTGACATTTTAAGTTTAAGTTTAATAGAAATAAGCTGAAAGGGACTGTAAGCGTTGTTTTAAGTGAGTAGTGACCCACCGTACAAAGATGGCAATGCGACCCTTGAAATCTCATCAAAACTCCGGAAGATAAATAAATATTTTTTTTGACTGGAAAAGTGTTTAATTCTGAAATTTGCTCAAGTCTTTCTTATTAGAAAGAAATGCGTAAGTCACTTTTGCAGAGAAATTGGAATTTAATTTTGACCAGCTGAATTCCAACAAAAGAACTAAATAGCAGGATGTAAATTATAAAGGGATTATTCCAACCTGGTTTCTTGGTTTCTCCAGGACTCTGAGTAATATAGAGAACTCCAGAGTTAAATGTGATCTCCTCCTCATTCTTGCAACTCTTACTCCTCATTCTTCCTTTGTCTTTGGGAGATTTATTCTTCGAGCTTCTAATCCTTTCTTTATCATCCGGAGACTCACTTCTCAACCTTTCTTTATCATCCGGAGACTCACTTCTCATCCTTTCTTCAACATCTGGAGATTTTCTTTCTATCCTCCTCATCCTTTCTTTATCATTCAGAGATTTACTTTCTATTCTTCTCATCCTTTCTTGATCGTTTAGATATTTAGTTTCCATTCTTTTTTTCCTTTCTTTTGAACCTAGAGATTCTTTTTCCTTTCCTTGTACTTCTTCATTTACTTTCCTTATTCTCCTTCTCCTTTCTTGATTATCTACAGATGTATTCTTTATCCTTTCCATCTTTTCCGTCCTTTCCATCCTTTCCATCCTTCTCTTATCACTGATTAATTCATTCTCCGTCCTTCCCATTATTTCCTCATCTTCACTGAAGAGTTTCTGGGATAGTTTAACCATTTCTGAACCTGATTCTTTAATACAAATATCTGAACCTGATTCTTTAAAACAAATATGTCCGTCTTGATCTGGATTTATGTTTGTAGACTGAGCTGATTGACCCGAATATATTCCTTGTTCCTCAGCTGAGCTTTTATCTGTACTTTGAGCAGAGTTCAGTTCGCTACGTTGAGCTAGACTTAAGTCTTCCAATCGCGCTAAACTTAAGTTTCGACTTTGAGCGGAGTTTACTTCTGGTTCTTCATCTAAGCTTGTTTCTAATATGAAAAGAAAAATTAAGCTTACACTTTAAGCCAGTTCACATGCACGAAGAGTTAGGTTTGATTGCCTAGATATCTAGAGCTAAGAATTCTTTCAATTAAAAAAATGTTAAATTCCTTCTATCCTTGACATTGTAAAATCTTGAGATCTCAGATCAATGATATTGAGATTGGACAGAACAAGTTTAACAAAAATGGTTCAATAATAATAGGTTTAATTTCTTCTGCAAATTTTTCACCTAAATATCCAGTTTGTATCCAGGATATTAACATATATAACAAGATATCAATTTTGTATCCAGGATATTAATATATATACCTAGATATCCAGTTTGTATCCAGGATATTAATATATATACCTAGATATCCAGTTTGTATCCAGGTCTGCTGAGCTACAGGTAGATCATGGTGCACTACAACCTTACATACTCCCAGGAATATTGGAGAAATATTCTCTTCTCCAATCTCAAATATTCCAGGACCTAGATCTTTTATTCGTTCTCTTTCTACTCCTCCCTCTCTTCTTTCTTCTTCCCTTTCTTTTTCTCCTTCTTTTCCCTCTTTTCCTTCTTCTTCACCTCCTTCTTCTTCACCTCCTTCTTCTTCACCTCCTTTTCCTTCACCTCCTTCTTCTTCACCTCCTTCTCCTTCACCTCCTTCTTCTTCACCTCCTTCTTTTCTTTCTTTAACCCTATTCGGGTTTAGTAAATAGGCAGATTTTCCCCCGTTCAAAAATGAGGTAGGTTCTACAGCTAGATTTGACAAATCTGTAGATTCTAATGGAAAGTTCGAAAATTCAGTAGATTCTAAAACATTGTTTAGAATTGAGCTAGATTCCTCTGCTGGTTGTGTTAATTTGGAAGAATTTATCAGTTGGTTATAAAATTGGTTAGATTCCCTTGTGATGTTCAGAAATGGAGTAGATTCTATTACAGTGCTCTGAAAATAAAGATAGTTAACATTTTTCAGCATACAATTTATAATGAAGACATTTTTCATAGATTTGTAATACAGGGTGTCCCACGAAACATGACAGTAACAAGACGACTTGAAAGTCGTCTTTGAAATTGGATTTATTTGTGACATTTAGTCGTCAACCTACTTTAAAATGTGTGATTTTTGAAACAAAAACCACACAATTCTCCTATTCCAGGCATTTCCATAGTGTGGTTCTTTGCTGTGCTGTCAATATTACCTAAGATATAAAAAATTGCGTTCAGATTTCAATTTTATTAAAAACGAAAATCTGAAATTCTTCTTATCTCCGGTAATATTGAAAGCAGAAAAAAGGCAGACCACATTTTGGAAATGCCGAGATTTTGTATTTTGTGATTTTCAACTCTAGAATTTTATTTTTAACATTAATTTTACGAATGAATTTTGCAAATTATGTCATAGATCAGAGACGACCTTCACATTGTCTTGCAACGGTTATGTTTCTTCACATCGTCTTGCAACGGTTATGTTTCGTGGGACACCCTCTTTAAGACAGTAAGATAGTAAACAAATCTGTGGAAAACAATTTTCAAAATAAAAATTTTAAAATAATATTTCACCTGCGCTTCCACTTTTCTCTTTGTAGCTTTGTTTATTACAGCATAGATGGGCACACTCCTAAACAAAGGAAATATTATAAATAGGTAATGCACGGTCCCAGTTTGTACTGTATCGCCCGGACATTGGGTAAATAAAGCAGACACTTAATAGGACTAGTCGGTGCAACAAGGTTGACGCGGTCAGACTTTAGGTTGAATTTACTTTTACTAAAGGGTCAGAGGTGCGTGAATCGAAATATTTCTACCACTGAATCCTTAAAGGGCTAGGGGTTTAAATCTTTGTTTTTTAGCCAATCAGAAAAAGGCCTTAGAGTAAAGATGATAATAATAATAATACAGTAAAAATATTTCAAACTAGATTAAATGTTACAAAAGCAATTTACATTATTATAGATATATCTGTAATATTGTGGAAAATAGAAATCTATTACAGTAAAAAATTTGCAAAAAATTTAAAGTAAAATTTAGGGCAAATATTTACATGTAACACACACATATTTTAATTCATTTTTGAAAGGCTTTTTAAATGTGTAAATTTTACTGTACGCGCGCGCAAGAAATAAGAATTGATAACAAATGTTGAAAGTAACTTCTTCTTTTTTATTTAAGAAGTCATAATGCCTAAAATGAGAGTGCTAGAGAAAAATAAAACTCTAGGAAATAGAGGATATTTAGATACAATTAACTTAATGTGTGGATATACCTGGGAAAGTCTGGATACAATTCCTCTATAGCCTGGATATACCTGGGAATGTCTAAATATGACTCTTCTAAAGCCTGGATATACCTGAGAAAGTCTGGATATAACTCCTCCAAAGCCTGGATATACCTGGGAATGTCTGGATACGACTCCTCCAAAGCCTGGATATACCTGGGAAAGTCAGGATATAACTCCTCCAAAGCCTGGATATACCTGGGAAAGTCTGGATAAGCCTGGATATACCTGGGAAAGTCTGGATATAACTCCTCCAAAGCCTGGATATACCTGGAAAAGTCTGGATACAACTCCTCCAAAGCCTGGATATACCTGGGAAAGTCTGGATACAATTCCTCTATAGCCTGGATATACCTGGGAACGTCTGGATACAACTCCTCTAAAGCCTGGATAAACGTGGAATGTCTGGATATAACTCCTCCAAAGCCTGGATATACCTGGGAACGTCGGAATATAACTCCTCTAAAGCCTGGATATACTTGGGAAAGTCTGGATATAACTCCTCCAAAGCCTGGATATACCTGGGAAAGTCTGGATATAACTCCTTCAAAGCCTGGATATACCTGGGAAAGTCTGGAAACAACTCCTCCAAAGCCTGAATATACCTGGGAAAGTCTAGAAACAACTCCTCCAAAGCCTGGATATACCTAAGAAAGTCTGAATTTAACTCCTCTAAAGCCTGGATATACCTGGGAAAGTCGGGATACAACTCCTCCAAAGCCTGGATATTCCTGGGAAAGTCTGGATACAATTCCTCTATAGCCTGGATATACGTGGAATGTCTGGATACAACTCCTCCAAAGCCTGGATATACCTGGGAAAGTCAGGATATAACTCCTCCAAAGCCTGGATATACCTGGAAAAGTCTGGATATAACTCCTCCAAAGCCTGGATATACCTGGAAAAGTCTGGATACAACTCCTCCAAAGCCTGGATACCTGGGAAAGTCTGGATATAACTCCTCCAAAGCCTGGATATACCTGGGAAAGTCTGGATATAACTCCTCTAAAGCCTGGATATCTCCAGAACAAACTGCTTCAGATATATATTCCGCGTCGCCAAAACTAGGAAATTAAAATATTTTCATACTTCGTGTTTTTTAAACCTTTGTATTTTTGCAAATGTGTATTTAATGGTTTTATGTTTGTTTTTAATGTTATTTGGTATACATAGTGGTTATTTGATTTGATTTAGCTAGTCTTATAAACATTTTATCGTTACTTTGGTAACTTTTGTACATTATGCTTTCCTTAAATTCTTTTTCAATTTAATTATCACTTAAATATTTATTTATCAAATTATTATTATTTTATGTTTTTGTTACTGGTATAGTAAGTGCTGTATATATACCTTAGTGATCGTTTGAGTGATGTCAGACTGTTTCTTTTTCTACAGGATTGTTTTCTGGTTCTAGGGGGAGGGGCGGGGTGTAGGGCGGAGTGGGCGGAGTAGTTTTCCTAAATAAATTCAGTGAGACGACATTTGAACAGTCTAATATGTGTATTTGATGTTGTTAAGAAGCTTTCAGTTTTATCAGAAACTTGAAAATCAACTTTACACTTCGCGATTGCTCTGTTTCATATTCATGGACTATTTAAAACTATAAATTGAGTCTAACAGTTGTATGAGTCTCACTGTATATGCAATTTAACCAGAGGTTTTTTTAATGGGTCAAAATTGGAGAAAAAATGAATTCAAAAATCCTTTTGTTATATTTTCTGTTTTAAAAACGCACTCGCGCTTATAACATACGCTATGGTTTATCTGATATTGTTGAAATAATTTTTAAAATACTGGAAAACTGAAATATGTAAGAAAAGTAAAGTGAGTAAGGGTAAAACACTAAAATATATTTATGGTCCTTAAAAAACATTGATTGTGTATTTTTAGTGAAAATAATAACATTAATCACCTCTATTTCTTGCCTTTCTTTCCCACTGAATCCTCTGAAATAAGAAATAAATCTATTAGTAATATTTCAATTTTTATTATTATTTTCATTGTTTTATTGTATCGTCATTATTGTTATGATTAATATAATTATTATTATCATCATCATTATTATTACTATTGTCATTATTATCATTATTATCATTATTAGTATTATTATTATTATTATCATCATTATCACCATTACTAGTAACTACCTAAAGAACACGTGATCATCACAGTCTGTAGTTTGGTTTACATTAGCATGATGAGCATGATGAGCTTGACGAGCTTGACGAGCTTGCTTGTTAAACGATTTTTTCAAGTTTGATTGAAAACTCTCAAAACGTCGGAGCAACTTTAATCCTGAAGGAATTATAACACACAGATTAAATTCTTTTTGTATTATGCATTATGCACCTGGGCATCAGGCATTGGGCATTATGCATTATGCATTATACACCTGGGAATTGCGTATTAGGCATAAGGCATGGGGAATTATGCATTATGCATTTGGCGTTAGGCATTGGGCATTTATAGGCATTAGGCGTTGAGTATTAAACATTAGGCATTAGGCATTGAGCATAAGGTAGGAATACTTATTTACTCCCTCTTTAAGGGCCTGAAGGGAGCTAGTCACTGTATGGAGCACTCAAATTTTAAATAATTAATTTTCAACACTATTTTGGCACAACCTGCCATAAAGTTTTTGGACTTTTCTCTATTTCTTTAAGGTTCTCGCCTTTTTAGATCATATTTTGTCCCTCGCTAAAGCTCGGAACAAAATTAAATCTTAAAGGATTGAGCCTTCTCGATGAAGAGAAAATGTTTGTCCAAAAGCTTTATAACACTGCGAACCAAAGTAACAGAGTTATAAATAGTTATAATTAATAGCTGGCAAAATTAAAAGTTAAAAAAAATAAAACTAACTATAACAGAAGTGAATTGTAAAATTCATTGGCACTTTTTCAAAGAAAGTTTTACATTTTTAAAGTAATTTTTATATTCTTAATTTCGTGCATGTTTTACCTGAGTTTTTGATATTAAATTTATCTTTAGGAAGCCCAGGTTCCTCCTTGTAGTAGTTTCCTAAACTTAAACTCTTACTACCCTACACATCATACAGACTTAATATCACACCGCAAAGAATCGAAAATCCAACAAAAAAATTTAAATTTTTTTCTATTTTTTCTATTTTATCTTGCATTTAAAGAATAAAACAAGTATAATATTTTCCATCTTTAGACCACTTTTGATCTGGTAAACAGGGTTACCCTCAAAGAATGTGACTGTAAAGTAGACAGTAAAATCTTTAAATATGACGATCTCAAGGTTAAATTAAGTATTATAACTTTCAGTAATTAAAGATAAAAAAAAAGATTATTTCAGGGTAGGTTTATAGTTTTACCTTTAATTTAAAGTGACTCCATCTTAATTTAAACTATTACATGTATACATATACAGGTTGGCCCCAATAAATAGGAATTAAAGGTTTTCAGCCCTTTTATTTGTTAAAAAAGTCTCAAAAGTCTGCTGCTCTGTTGGTTTTTAATTTTGAAAGAGGTCGTTTATGTTCGTTTATGTACGTTTAAGTATGTTTTTGTCGTCCGATCCTTCCATGTTGACGTAAATTTAAACTATGTCGAATATTTGAAAATCTCTCCGTTAACTTACGCTAACCAATATTGTTTAAGAAACAAAAATACGTACCGAACCCCCCTTAGAATTAGTATATATTAGAAGTATATATGGTAGTTTTAGAACTCTATGAAGAGAAGCATCAAATCCCGGCCCCATGGTCATGCCAACAGCTTTAGAACTAGGCGATTTTTTGCACGGCATTATATTGGGACCTCTTTAATAAATAATTTTAAATATAAACTTAACATTAAAGTGATGCAATCAAGAATTAATTATTACAACTTTAAGCAAATTTTGTTCTCTCTCTCTGTAATATAGATTTTTTCAGAATAATTAAAAATTTTAACTATTTAAAGTAAACAGCGAGGTTTTCAAATATTTAACATAGTTTTACTCCAAACTGAAGCAACTTCAAAATTATACCTAAACGACCCCTTCTAAAATCAAAAACGATGCACAGGGTGTCCCACGAAACATGACAATTGGTCAATAGTTTTCAATGTCTTCTTCCATAATTTGCGAAATTCTTTGATACCAAACAGAAAGAAAAAAAATATGACATGGAATTTTGGAAGTCATATATTAGTAAAATTGATTTCAAAGTAAAATATATTCGATTAAAAGATTTTTTTTTAGCGAAATAAACTGTAAAAATTTCAATGTGGAAGAAGACATTCAAAAATATTCACCAACTGTCATGTTTCGTAGGACACCCTGTACTAGAACACTTGAATATATTGGATTTATATAGAGATTTTGAGATTAAGAAAAACAAGAATAACTCCATCATTTTTAGAGATTTAAATGGAACCTTTGTGAATCATGCATGCAACACTTTAGATGAAGCAAGGAAAGCAAGGAAAGTTAATTGCAGTAGTTTATACATATTGAAACCAGTTCTTTCTCTTGGCGGAATTTGTAAACAAGAATAGATGCATCAGTGTCC